TTATTTTAGATTATCTTATAATCGTAATATATAGATATGTTAAATATGTTATTTTATATTACACATTTTTAGATTTTATTTTAAACCATTTACCTCTTTCAATTCATTAATCTGAGTGATATATTGATTTTGGACAGTTAATAATTGGCTAATGTACCATTGTTGATCTCTACAGCGTTGATAAAATGTCGGTGGTCGTACTTGGAATCTGTCAATTTTATATTAGATAATTATATACACAATTTGATATTAAATAAGTAATGTATTGTTTTACTTAATATTATGTTCATAATGCTAATGACTGCAGTTTTAATCTATATAAAATTATGACTATATGATTGTAATTTTAATCTATATAAGATACAAGATATAAAAAGTTTATTATGTACACAAATATAAATACTCAAAACTTTTTTAAAACATAAAAATTTCGAATAAATTTAGCTTTATAGCATTAATTAAAAAATGTTCATAAAAATATTTACCTCAGTATAAGAGTATCTAATTCTGTATTTAAGTAACCTTCCGTCGCGAGTAAATCTAATCGAAAAAATCTATTATATCCCCAACATTCGCCGATCTCGAAATCAGATGCAAATTCGCGAACAATATTTTTACTCGTGTCACGAGAGCCTTGATGAATCATTTCAACTCTATATTCATACCTACAAAAATATTTAGAATAAAACAGATATTTTTTGTTTTATATTTTTAGATATATTTGAAAAAATGTACAAATCACTACTTATGAATTTTACATACTTTGAAGTTTCCGGCAATCCAGCACTGAGTTCTAAAAATACTGACAAATAATTTCCGCGTACAACTCCATTGCCATCTGGATATACTTTCAATCGCCAACACAGCCCATTCACATGCAATGGCGTAGAATATACAGGATCAGCTTTCAGTTGAAGCTGAGTAAAATTCTGCATGGCAAATGTTGCGCTGTCATAGCCTGGCACAATTTCACTAGAATAAAATAATTCTTGAAATTTAATATGAAATTATAATGATAAAGCTTTAATTATAATATAATATCATTATAATTATAACAAATTTCATACATAAATATATATAAATATATATAATAATTACATTAATCTTTACTTTAAAAGCCTTACCTATGAAAATCGGCAGGTACAGGTGCAGTAACAAAACTCGTCATTGGTTTTTTGCGAACCTGATGTATCTTGCGAGATAGCTCGGCGCTTTTAACAATCAATTCGGAGCGTGTACATGTGTGCAACTGATATTCCACCTCTTGTAATAGAGCTTCTAGTTGTTCGGTTTCCAAAGTCAATGAATTCTTCTGACCCATCAGAGTCAGCAGTTTAGCTTTCAATTGAGAATCCAGACGAGCTATCATTAATTCTATTGCATTTCTAATCTCTCTGACTCTTTCATCTTTCGCAGCTCTCACCGATTCAACATTTCTCTCCTAATAAAATATAAACATGATAAAATTACAAAATGTAGCAGAATAAATTCATATGCCTATACATTTTCAACAACTTTCTTCCATTAATAATAAATTTAAAATTTATAAACATACCACTTCTTGAACAAGACTGATTAACTCCATGAGCCGTCTATTTAATTGACCTACTTCTGCTTTTATCTGAGAAACATGTTGCTCATAAACATCTTCCAAAGGTTTAAACGTATGTCCCGAATGAGTACCTCCCCAAAGAGCACATTGATGACAAATACATTTACGACAAGTCCAACAATACACAGATAATTTTTCCTGATGTGCTGTGCATCTATGATAATAATAAAAGTTCAAATATTACAAATACAAATTACATATTATATAAAAATACATGCTTTGAATAAATAACAGAATAAAAAATAGAATTATTAAAAAATACAGAGTGCGTCACCAAAATTCGGACAAATCAAACAATTTCTTTAAACAAAATGTTTTTAATAAAAAATTAAATATTACAAAAAAGCCTTTTACATGACACTTGGGAGGAATCCCTGTAGAGCAATTCAATATATCCCCCATTAGTTTGAATGGTCTCTATTCTCGGTCTGAAGCATTTGTACGCACGCTATAATGTAGCGTTGTCCATGCCGATGAATGTTGCCTCAATAGCGATTCTTAACGCCACATTGGGATGCCAAGACTTGTTTGTGATCCTTTCAACTACTCCATACGTAGTAATCCAAGGAATTTAAATCTGGGTTGTTGGAAGGCCAGAATTGGAAGCGAGCAACTCGGCTTGTCCTGGCAGTCTCAGAAAGCATCTATCATATCTTTAATGTATACGATTTGTAAAGGTCCTCCTCGGCAATTCGATACATTGTTGACTCGCTTACATCACAATCGATGCTTTTCGCAACGATTACCTTGAGTCATCCGAAATCAGCGCTTGAGCCCTTTCAACGACTGCGGGGGTCCTCGCGATGCGTTTTTTCGAGTGACTCTTCCTCGCATATTCTTCCTGGCATATTTGAACTTTCGTTGGACTGTTCTAAAGTTATATATTTTGTCACAACGTCATAAACGATTGATCTCGGGTATCCAAAGAACCGAATTATTTCCGTTGCTAAGTACTCAGTGCCGAAGGCCTTTGATGATCGCGGCTCTTCGATTATACTCCGCACGTGGTTTTAACATTGCGACTATTTTCAGAATATGATTGTTTACTAGAAGCATCAGGCTTTCTCGGACGCCAATAATATTTTTGGCGGAGGCACAATGTAGCGAAAAATTTAAATTGAAATTTGTCCGGGTTTTGGTGACGCACTTTGTATATTAGTTTTTAAATTTACAAAAAAAATAAATGTCTCTAAAATTCTAGAATATTATTTCACACCTGTCTCTGCTAGAATCGTCATGTCGAAAATTAGATATACAAACAGCTTGCAATGTATCAAGTTGCTGAGTTACTTCCTCGACCCAACGACAATTTACTAGTTCGTGTAAGTGGAGGGAAGCCCGACAGTGAGGACATTGAGACCGCTGCTCAGTGAGCCACCTTCTAATACAGGTATAACAACACAATTTACTGCAGTGAGGACAGAGATGCGCATCTCTCAGCTTTTCCATACAAATGAAACATCGGAAAACTTCTGCTAATGTCTATAATAAGAAAGTAAAAGGTTATATTTCATTATCAGTTTTAATCTTACATTACAGTACGCAATTATAATATTACGATTCTTACATAATTAATCAATCTAATATGCATATAATAATGTATCTTTTTTTATATTATATACTTTATATACTTTATATATAACTATTTATAATAACTATTTATAATTTTAGAATAAAATAAGTATTAATTTTAATTATATAATTTTATTGTTAATTTCATCATTAATATATATTTTAGAATCTTCTATTTAGACATAAATAATGAACGAATTATTAGTATCTCACATTAAGACATTTTATTAAGATACTGATCCAAAATAATAAAATATGCTTGAAGTAAGAGGTCCAGTTTTACAGCAAAAATATTATCGTAAATTTTCAGAATAAGAAAAGGCATTATTACAATTTCGTGGTTATCGTTATGCTTTACACAACAATAATAGATCAGTTCGTTTTTCTGACTGTGCCTTTTCATACTTTTTGCATTGAAATGAAATAAGGGCGCAGCTAGAGAATGAAAACAGATCTATTCGACCTTAATACTAACCTCGACGCTATGATCATCTGCGATTTTGGAGGAGACCGATGGGTCTCGGCTAGCCATCCTTGGTTGAAAGCACGCTGCAAACGAATAAAAATCGTTATCGTTATCGACGAATATCGATCACTTCACTGAGCGTATCGTTTGTGAGACACATGTCCCAAAACTGGATCACCGCGATGTTTTCGATTCGGCGTCGTCAATCATTCGAAGCATCACTCAATCATGGGCTCACACGATTTTGTCTCGTCGCGACGGTGTTTGAGCATCCCTCGCAAATAGACGGACGAAACTGCACGTATTTATACGCTGTTTCGTTAATATTCAAAATTTTTAGGGCGAGAACCGTTAACTGTCGTTCCTCGCATACGTTCCGTAAACAGTTGTGTGATAGGAGGTAAGACAAGCACGGCTGCATGGATTGCACAGAGTACAGAGATGGAGCAGGCGCCATAGACTTATAAGATAGACGAACATTAATACGAGAGAAATTGAAGACTTGATAGAAAGAGAAAGAAATAATCACAGAGTAGTTCTCTTTTTTTCTAGTAGTGAATTGATTGGTCACCGCGGCAAGCGAGAAAGTGGCCGAGAGCAACGAAGATAGAAGTTCGAGAGTTCTCTTACGATCAAGTTGATTGGCCCCCCATTGCTCACTATAAAAGAAAGAAACAATTATGTCTGAATAAAGCTGTTCTTCAATGTTGTTTTCAGCTTCTCTCCGTCTATTTTATAAGTCTATGGCAGACGCACAGTGGTTCCCAATTGTTCCAAATCCCCAAAATATAAGAGTTGTTCAATTTATACGAAATTTGGTGCCACAGGGTTTTCGATATCGCTGATTACAAATCCGATTAAAATTGCAAGAAAGAAAATAGCGAATCCAATATGATATAAATTTTTTAATATTTTTAATATAGTCGAAAAATAGGATTTCATCAGAAAGGTCTTCGTACGACAAAAACGTATAAATTCCATCCGAAATCCAGTATCACAAGATTTTCGATGTTTACCAGTCATCCAATTGCATCATCTAAGGCGTTCAGAAACTTCTTCGTCAGATTATTCTAGGATGCACCCCACTCCTCACTCTACCAATACTCAGATTTTCTGAACGCATCTCAGAATATATTCCGAACAGGGATAGTTCCGATTCGGAATACATCCAGAATCAATCCTCTGAGTCGGTTTAAACCCTTGATGGAAATTAGGCCACTGTCAGTGAATTTTGGAATACAGCTGTGGCATGTATGGCTGTGTTCCAAAATTAACTGCCAGCGCTGAAAGTTTATAATTTATGTTACGTATACTATATATTTGCAGCACTGACAGTGAAATTTGGAACACAGTCTATATGAGCATGCGTCGTGAGTACAAGATGGTGGATTTCAGTTATTACGCAGAATGTGAAAATGAGTTCGAGAGATGAGCCTTGAGACTCAAGGCTGAAGGCTGAACGTGACCATTATCGGGTATTATTGAAGTAATCGGAGAGATATAGCGGATTCATGATAAAGTGCGCATAAAAGGAGATGGCATTGTTCCGGGCATTGCCCGCCGGAATCGGCACGACGTTCAAGATTATTTCACGGAGCGTTCCGGCCGTGTTCTATCACGCAAACGTAATTATCGTCATTTTTCTATCTTGTCATAATTCCAATCCCAACCTTTAATCGCGTATGTTTCACGTACTGTTCTTTTATTAATGTTTGAATTTATCTAATAATCTATATCTCATTTATTATGTTAAATAAGCGATATGAATGTGTTCTTATATATATGAATAAAGTATAACTTTTAATGTTTAATATCAGTTTTGATTTAGTCACATTTCAAGCATTTAGTATCCGGCGTAAACACGATAAAAAATTTAGAGAATCGTATTTATACAGAAAGCGATTGTGTATAATAATTTTATAAAAAAATTTTCTATTAAAATATTTCATAATTTTATTGCATAATAAATTGATTGTGTGATGTAATATGGTGTAATCTTTTTTTACTATATAAAGTATAAATATATACTTCATGTTCCAATATATACATTGTCATAGCTGAAAACATATAATATACGTGACATAAACTATAGATTTTTAGTATACTGGCAGCATACATCAAAATATGGCCATAGATTGCATTTTCGTCTTTTTCTTTGTTGTTTTATTTTTATTCCATTATGATGGAACATTTATAAATTATATATGTCAATCAGTCACATTTTTAAAGTCAATGCACATGACTTCTATTTACAGTATCAATTTACAGTATCAATCAATTTATTTTATCTAAAATGTCATATGTTATTATTTTATTGTATGAACATTCATATAATATTAAATGTGTTATGCAAGATATACAAATTTTATTTATCAATTTATACAATATTTGTATACTATGATTTTATTAATCAATCATTGTTTCATGTACATAATATTTATGTATATTATGATATTCCTAAATTGAAAATCTTAAACAAAAATGTTCTGATTTTACAATTAAACAGGTAATAGATCACTACGAAAATCCCAGAAATGTTGGTTCCTTGGATAAGAATGATGAACATGTTGGAACAGGTCTTGTAGGAGCACCGGCTTGTGGTGATGTGATGAAACTTCAGATCAAGGTTGATGAAGAGGGCAAGATAATTGATGCAAAATTCAAGACTTTTGGTTGTGGTTCTGCTATTGCTTCAAGTTCTTTAGTAACAGAATGGGTTAAAGGAAAAACAGTGAGATTTTTTAATTTATAATTTACTATGATTAATTCTTAATTATGTTAAATTATAATTATTCTTTGAACTTGTAATATATTAGAGCATATTTAATATGGCTATAACTTTAAACATGCAAATTATAATCATCACTGGTTATATTCCATTATTCATTGCAAGTACTGAAAATGTATAGTATATGTAACATAAACAATAGATTTTCAAGTGATTCTATGAAGATTCATAGTGAATAACATACCTTTATTTAATAACAAGCTCCCTTAAATTTTGTCCAAGTATTTACTTCATGTTCGAGTTGTAACTATTGTATATACCGTAAAATGTATTGCAATATAAGAATTTTAATTTGTTATTAAATTTTTTAGGTGGATGAAGCATTGGCATTAAAAAATACTGACATTGCAAAAGAGCTTTGCCTTCCGCCTGTCAAGCTACACTGTTCGAGTAAGTACACATACCTACTAAAAATTTTGTTTTATTAATTAGAGTAAGCAATATTTTTTGAGATAAGACAAATATGTATTCCAATAGAAAATGTAAAAATCAAATGTAATTAAGTATCAGGATTTTGTGATCTTACAAATATCAGTACAATTAAATAATCAGTTTTATAATTTTTTTCGTAAATTTCAGTGCTTGCCGAAGACGCAATTAAGGCTGCTCTGTCAGATTACCGCATCAAACAACAGTCAAAGATTGAAGAGACGAAATAATGAGACTCGAATCTATATAATAATTGCTTTCCATTTACATACAAGTGGAACTGAGTTTGAGCTATTTCATATTCAGATTAATGATGTCATTATTTGCTTAAAAAGTTGTCACATGACAACATAGGTTCATAACTTTATATTTAAAGTGAGTTTACGAGATTCACTAAAATACACGGTCTCTTATGTAGATATAGTAAAAACTCAATTAAATCTCACTTGTCAAAATACAAAAGAAAGGCAGATTCAACTAAGTTATGACATTCTCACAAGTGAAAATTATCAGAGAACATAAATGGAAAGCAATTAATATATATATTTATATCGAAATATATGTATAATTCGTAAAACTCGTGCTTTGTGCGCGTATTTTTTAGTCTTTCTCCGTAATGAAGAATAGAAAAATATAATATTGTGATAACAGCATTAGCCAACAGCGATCTACTTGAAAATATATATGTATATAACGAAAAAATTCTTTTTATCACCTCTATTAATTTAGCTATATCCTTTCAAATCAAGTTTGGATCAAAAATTTAGTGCTATTTTGTTTTTAATTTGTTTTAAAGCGAATTTTATTGCTCAAATCGTTTTAGCAGGAAATCGTATTTAAGGATATATCACACTATACAGTCCCTGTAAAGAAAATTAAATTTGAGAATGTGTTTAATACTTACACATTAAATAAATTACATATACGTATGAAAATTGTATGAATAAAACTACATATTTTATTTAATAACATATTCTTATCATTTATTTATTTTATTTGTTATTATTTTTATTAACATTTTTTTAATGGATAAAAAAATTAAATTTTTTTAAGTTCTTAACATATAACTTATACAAAGCAATTTTATTGCAATTCACTGATTAGTTATAAAAATATAGAACCAAATATTTATTGGGCAACTAGTTCATGCATCGCAATGTAACTCTATAAATAATCTTGAATACATTATGTAGTATAAAAAAATTGAGATTTTTGTCATTTAGTTTATAATACATTTCCATACATTTTTATTAGAGCACATATTAAAAAAATATTATTATTTATAAAATAATTTACGATCCAGATAGTAAACCGTCACTAAATTTATCGCATCAATTTAAATATGATTTAAAATAATCTGTAATTTTTTCATAATTTTATTATCATTTTGAAATATATTTTTATGTATAAAACATCTTTAAATGGGTTTCTATCAGCGTTCAAAAATTTTCAATGTAACAATTCTCAAATGGAAGTTTATTCAAGTCATGATTGTATTAAAGCTAGATTATCTCAACGTCTTAAACTGCATTTATTATACATAGGCTTTGATAAGTAACAACAACTTGCTCATGGGGCGAACTAAACTGAGTCAGAAAGTCCTCTATCATTTTGCAATTTTTGCAATAGTTAACAAGAAAAACTGCAAGAGATAAAAATTATTAATTTTTTTCTTATAGAACTCTAAGAATTTTTTCAGAATCTTTTATTAATTTTTTAGTACTGCATTTTCTTATTTTTATCAACATGAGAAAATATTAAACAATTCTGAAAAAATTCTGAAAACATTTCAGAATTTATGTTCACATATTAATTTTCAGAACTTTATGAGAAGAAAACAATGATTTTTCTCTTACAGCTTTTCTATAAAGTTGATAGTATTTGAGTAAAAAATTATTCAAGATTAATAGTTGGCAATTTTTAGTAATTAATATCTTGTTAATTATTGCGAAAATTGCAAAATAGTACAGGATTTTTCGATTCAGTTTCGCTCTACACAAAAACGATTAACAAAAACTTTCAGGACACCCTGTATATATATATATACATATATGAAAATGCAGTACTATGAAATTGATAAAAAATTATTAAAAAATTCTTAGAACTCGACGAGAAAAAAATAAACAATTTTTGTCTCGCTGTTTTTTCTGTAAAGTTGTTAGTATTTGAGTAAAAAATTATTGAAAACCAATATTCGGAGAATTTCGCTCTATCCCTATACGAGAATTTTATCGTTACTTAGCAAACATCCTGTATATAAAGATGAAAAATCTTATGATATATTTATTCTTTTTACTCATGAAATATATGTTGATTTCATCAACGACTTGAATAATGAAAAAAATTGAGAAACAACGAATACAATTAAACGTGATTAAACTAAACAATGACGCAATAATAAATAATATGCATTGATATTAGTCATTATCAATGGAAAGCGCTCCAATTAATATGTGAAGACCATATGACTTAAGTAACTCGTAAAACTTGTGCTTTGTGAACACGCGCGTATTTTTTAGTCTTTCTCCGTAATGATGAACGGAGAAATATAATATTGTGATAACAGCATTAGTAATCCACACTCAACAGTAATCCACTTGAAAATAATCAATTCAATTGTTAGTTCAATGACAATATTAATGAAATAAATAACATTTTATTAAAACAGGAACATATATAGTATATTCGTTTCATTAATACTGTTGAATTAATACAATTATTTTTAATTAGAGATCTATCGATTAATCTTTTGAGGATTGGAGCTTTCTAATAGGGTTATTAGCGATTATGGAAATCAGAGAAAAGTTAATGAAATTAAAAAGTGATTAAGGAAAACGGAAAAACCGAAAAAAATCAGAGAAATTATTATCAAGGAATTCATTAATCTAAAATTAAATTAAATTACTATAAAATTCTAAGTTTAAACTTTACTTCTTCAAAAATTATGAAAAAGAATTTTTTAAATTTTTCAAAGAGGCAATGCAAATATTTTTTTTATTTTTAATTTTGCAAATTGCAGAAAACCGTTAGTAGTCGTAAAAAATTTTTCATGTATAAATATGTATAAACATACATAAATATTCATAAACATATGCATAATCATATAAAATATATCCATACATGGAAATTTTTTCAAAAAGTGATCGAGAAAAGTAATTTTTTTTTCTTTTGCGCTAACAACTCTGTTTCTAACAATATTATGAAAGATCTTGCTTTCTAAGAATTTTCAGGGTCGCTGAATTTGATTAATTCTAGAAGTCTAAAATCTAAATTTAAAAAAATCTGATTATTGTGAAACTCGATTTTAGAAGATTCCTGATAGCTCTGAATTTGAATATAGTATTTAAATATTAAATATTAAAAACTGTGGTGATTTGGAAAAAAAATTTCTGCGGAATTTTGTTAACTCAAAATTATATACAGAATATACTTATCGCGAATTTCTATCTGATGTAAAAGCTTAAAGTTTTTCTTAAAAATTCGTTTTAAAAAAATGTTTCTATGACTTTTTGTTACCAAGTTTTTTGTTACACACGGATTAAATAAAAGAGCATTCTGATTTTGATTGCTCATAATTCATTTAAAAATTATTGTACTGTAATTAATAAAATAGATTCTTAAAGCTGAAACGTTGCTTTATCAAGTATGGTGTAATTGCCAATTTAAAAAAAAAGTAGAATATATGTACATTAGAGGTAAAAATTATTGTCCTTTTTTTCTATTGCGTAATTGTTATATATAAGGACAGTAATATTCATAATAATATTTTTAACTCAAATTTCTATATATTTTACATTTAAAAAATTAGCATGATACTATTCGATAGAGTAACGTTTCAGTCTTAAGAATCTGTTTTTTTAATTGTAGCACGATGATTTTTAATGGAATTATGAGCAATCAAAGTCAGAGTGCTCCTTTTTACTTAACTCGCGAATTACTCAAGAACAAAAAATCATTTTTAAAAAACGATTTTATAAAGAAAATTCAAAAACTTTTACAAAATAGATAGTAAAAAATTTTCGCTATTTTTTTCATAATTTTCTAAAATATATAAAAATATATTCTATATATAAAAATTA